CGCTAATATTTGTCTGTGCCTGCGAAAATGTCTGATGCATGCGGTCACCAGGGAATTCACTAGATGGAGTAACGCATGGAACATCATCTACAGTTGTCCTATCAGAGTTATCAGCATTCTGTGTTCCTGAGCGACACCGTCTTTGGCATGGTGTTAAGTCAGGTGCAACCCTAATGTTAGTGTTGGGTGTTGAGGAGTCTATTATCTTACCAGATTTCAGAAAATTCCTAGATTCTTCAAAAGACCTGAACTTGAAAAGCACCGGATATGAGTGGTTTGCAGATTTCTTACAAAGACGCAAAACCTGACATTCTGTCAACAACATACTACAAGCCTTTAGAAATGTCTGGAATATTATAGGCCAGAACATTATGTGAAAACATAATCGTCTTAACAGCTTCTTCAGCCAAATAGTCAATTATGCACTCGGATTTGATAAGTGATTCTAGACAGATGCCTCGTGATGGGTCACACAGTTGCATGAGGGGTATAATCCTGTTAAACTTACTCTGTAGGTCTGCTATTGAATTCTGAAGTGTCAGTAAATCATTTTTGCCACGAGCCGCATTCTCTGTCAGGTCCTCCATGATATCAGATACCATAAATCTGGGTGTGTCTGGTGTCAAAAGTGTAGAATCGTCAACTGAGCTGAGGCCTTCAGATGGTTGACGAGTATTATATCTCAGTCTCCTAACGATACTTACGCATTTGATAGACTTAACCATTACAGAAACAAGAATTTTCACAATTTCCGGAAAATAGTCTTAAGCATGTGGAAAAAAGATAGCTGTATTATCGAAGTATCGAAACAACTACGATAAACAGATATATATTGCAAAATAAAAAGTCAGAGTTTCCTTTAACAGTGCTTGCTGTGGGTAATATCCTGAGTTTCATGTGGTTAGGGAGGGTATCAGAAGATTCCGGGTTGTAGATTTCACAAGTGAATACTATATGTAGTCCCAGGTGACACAATACATTCCTTGTTAAGTATGGATATGTGGATAATGTGAGGAATGCGGCTAATTTCCAAAATAATAAGGAAAAATGATTCACGCAGAAACTGAACACCTGTAGCGCAACAGTTCGATTTGATGGAAATATTAGATGTAACCGTTTGTGTTGTCTAAAAAATATTATCCTCCTCATGTAGCACATATGCGGTTCCTATAAAAGAACTGCTTTATGGGTAAAACTTTATCTTTAGGGAAGTTTTAATACCTTATTTCGAAAATATGCTGTTATCTCCCAGACTTGAATTTAATCATCAATAATTTGGACTAAACCCTTGGTGGCACTACTGTTTGAAGGTTTTAAACAGTTATATTTAATAGCTTCTTGGCGTATATCTCCAATATATGCCGAAACACTCTACAGCTCTGGTCCATCCGCTATGATACGTTCATCACCCCACAGATAAACAGGATTTAGCATTAGATGTTCGAATCACTTACTTAGTATTCTCGTGTAAGTTTATTTGCGTGTTCAATTTTGAAGGATAGATTTACGAGTCCCCTGTATTTAATTTCATCAAGTGGGACTGATGTACAACTCTCGTATATTGGCCCAACAGATAAAATATAAATATTCCATCATGCAGATTACTCTGTACCTTTTCCAGAACCTTGTCGTCTACCAGGTCTTAAAGTGCTTGAATAGGTGCCATGAAACCACATCGCAAATTTGGTTTTAATTCTTTTAACCTATGTTCATAGGTCGCCTGAAAGTCGATTAGTTACTTGAAAGTTCCAAAAAGGCATTTTAGCTTAACGCATTGAAGTCCGACACTGCCTACCTTTTATTATGTGAACTGAAGTGTTTTTGGCTTCTCCAATAGCCTGTAGATGCTTCATCGCTGTACATAGCGGTATAGTTTTTTAGATAGTCCTTAAATAGAGGCTGTGCATTTACACCCTCCATTATTTTTTATTTTTATTTTTATTACAGCTTGATGCCACACCGTATTTTCAGTACAAGTATGACAATTTCAGCATGGATATCGGTAGCCCAAATTTACAGGCTGACCATAGATATCGGGTGTATGTCGGCAGGTGATCGAACCCCGGACCATGTGCATGGTCAGCGAGAGTCCTAACCACTGTGCCACCGACTCACAAACATTATCAAAACAGACAGACGTAAACAGCTACACAAAGCGAATCTGCCTGACGAGTACCACTGCCATTCTTTTGTGCGACGAAACCACTTGAAAATGATTACAATTTTCAAAGAAAAACTTCGAACTTCAAATACACTGCGGCAGTTGAATAAATTATTGAAGCATATTGAAATTTAACGTTAAAAACTGAGGCAAAACAGGTGAATCATCGTGTTTCAGATACACAGGTAACGCTTCGTAAATAGAACCTATAAAGATGCAAGAAAATGATGTTCGAACCGGTGGAAAAGTTGTGATTTCCTTGGCTTCTAAAGCCTTGAGCGTGATTCTAAATGGGATCCGTGATTAGATGTTGAATTCTACTATAACGCGTTTAATAGATTATTCGTTTCAGGTTCATAATTTTTCAGAGTTCTGTATTGCACCATTCATATTTAGCAACCAACCGTCGTGTCGGAATAATTACCAGAACTATCGGTCGACAGTGCGTATAGTAACAGAGTGAACCGCATAAGCACTACGATGGACATGTGAAGCGGGGAAATCTAGTCAAACACACAGAAGGACGCTAACCACTCAATATCGTTAGTGGAGAAAGAGAATCTCATAAAAAAACAGAAGACATAGTTCCAGCTTGTCAGCGCGTCTCATCATTCTGTATTCCCTAACCACTAACCATTTCTGTATCCGTAGTGTTTATTATGTATGGTAGAGGCCCTACACATGGATTTAAAGTGAGGCTATATTGTTTCTTGTTCCTCTCCTGGCTACCAGAATCAGCCTCACTCTCTGGTCACACAAACATATATATAATTTGTATTATAGTGAATATCTGTTTATTTTGTGAGTCAAAATTTTCCCGACGAAATAACTATTTGCAATTATGTGTCTCACATGACAATACTGCAGCCAAACGAATGATTTGGATATCACTCTAGGGCAACGTACTTGAAAGTTTTGATACTTGCTGGAATATCTCTGCTAATTTTGCAAGTACCACTCTTTACTTTTGACCTGTGTATCACTTTCTGAGATTTACCTGTCTTCGTGACTCAGCTGGTTGGAAGTTTTTTCGTTGCTCCATTTGGCGTTATGTGATACTGAACTGTTGATAATATGACTGTGTTTTATTTATTTCGACAATTTGTTCGGCGGAAAGCAAGGAATACCGCGGGATAACTGTTTGCTGTTTGAATTTTGAAAAACCATTTAATAAACTGTACAGAAGTATGCGGCAAACTACTAACGTTCCTTCATTCAGGCCAAAATTCTTGGCTTACGATCGAAGTATGTAGTTGGTGATCCGAGTTCGCATTTAGTGAATTAATTTGGGATTGGCGGTTAACGAAGTTCTAGGGGATACCCAAACACAACTTCCTTCGTAAACAGAAATTATTCAGATCACAATGTGTGTTGTACTTGGTACCGCAGATAGCACTCCTGTAAACAAGCGTGGTTAGCTTAACCCTACGATGGATAAAACTGTTACCTCATGTAAATATGGCTTGTCAGCAGATAAGAGGCATTCACTAAAAATGGTCACTACCAACAAAGCCGCTCTATCAAAGTTATGACTAACCTGAAAGAGTCTCGTACATTATTGTCACTTGCAGGCAACGTTACACACTGGATTCAGCCTTTGGTACTTTACATTTCATAGGATTCGTGATATCATTTCGGGACGAAGAGGAACTGCCGCCGAATATTAGGTATGCAGTAGTGTTGGCAGATTACCGTTAAGTCACGTGGAAAATAGGAAGGTACCTCTAGAGATTCAGAGGTCAAACTGTTCGTGTGTTGATGGTCAACAACGTAGGGCACTTAGCTGCAGTCTGTCAAGCGGTGAAACTGGGACTCTCAAACAGTCACTGACTGAGTCAAGCAATGATGGTTTCATTACGAAATATTTAAAGTCTGAATGGATATAGAAAGAATTCCACCACTACGCTCGTTTAATTAATCAGTTCAAAGCAATATGTAGTCACCTATTACCAGTTACAGTTCCGGGCAACCAGATGGTACCAGGTTTCCGCTAAAAGCATAGTAGGTGGTTGAGACAGTGGGCATGGTGAAAGAAGAGGCGGTGAGCTGCTTTAAACAGAATACGCAGTCATTAAAAAAGGATCTGGAGGCCTATCTTCGAAAGGTGATGGGTTAGGTGATTTGGGTCAGTAGGGAAGATACTATTAATTTCACAAGTAACTACAATACTGTGTGAGATATAAGAATAGCTGCTCATAGAACTTATTTTTACTTCAGAAAATCCACTGGAAGGCTGCACAGGGAAGCCTATGAGATAGCTGAAGTATGAAACTAATTTCTCAGTTTACCTTGGGAGCCACTGTCCACGCTTTTATCAGTCGAGAGCTGACAACATACAATTCTGTATCGCTTACAATCTACTGAATACCTGGGAATTTCAAAAGGAAGCTATAACTGAGTGATTACTGCCGCAGGTGTTGTGAATAAAGTTGGAAGATTCTAAACCAGTGGTCTTTACTGCGATGCCTAGGTGGACATCTGCAGGGAATTTCTGACAGTCGGGTGCATTACTCACTCGTATTAGCCCTTAGATGAAGTTAACTGGGAATGTCTTGTTCTAACTGGGAATAAGCGACAACATTTTGGACTCTATGGGTGTCTAAAAGTGATGAGAAATTCACAACAACACCGGGCTATAATGCCCAAAGTGAACTAAATTCACCACGTTTATTACCAGGGGGATATTTTTGGATTTGTTTTGGCTGAAAATTAGTGATTTAGCCTCACCGAATAATATTTTTTCTAAATATCATAGAACTTCAGAATTTGACTGCTTGCAGTACAAAATCTTTGATATGTGAATTGAAGCTTGAAGGATAGTGTTTAAATCAAGCACATTAATGAACTAACTAATGGATAAATATTCAAAAATACATATGTGTTTTCTTGTTTGCGTGTGTAGATAACATTTTCCAAGTAATGGTGGATGAGTCTAAATACAAGGATGGAGGATGGGCATGGGTGGTTGTTTTTGGTGCATTCATATCTCATTTTATGACATGTGGATTTGAAAAGGGATATTCTGTCCTCTATGTGGAAATTATTCGTGTATATAATACAAGTGCGGCTCTCGCTGCTGCTCTCGGAGGTTTAGCATCTGCAGTTCGACTGTTATTAGGTTTGTCCACTTATTAAATACCTTATGTTTAGCCCCTCTATCCGTTTCCTTAAGTAATATATACTCTGAACAAAAAGTGGCTATGGCAGGAGGCTTATTGACATTTATTGGTCTTCTAACAGCAGCACTGAGTCCTCATTTTACCATATTTTTCATTGCATATGGAGCTGTATTTGGTAAGGAGAAAATTTTCAAGTAACACTTTTAGGTTTCGGATTAACTCTTTCTTATACTCCCTCCTTGGTTGTATGTACGCATTACTTCCACAAACGTCGTGCGACGGCTCTCAGTCTTTCTCTAGCTGGATGTGGCGTCGCAACTATCATTCTACCGTATCTATTTTACTTCCTAATCAGTTATTATGGACTACGTGGTGCTATGATTATTCTTTCTGCGTTAAGTCTCCATTACTGTGTTGCTGGTGCCTTATACTACCAAAGAGAATCGAAGAAAGATAATGTACAGGATTCAGAGTCTTCAAAAGTCCAATTAAGCATATTTTCAAGATTTGTGAAATATATCAGTCGTCTGTTAAATATTAAGGTTGCTTCAGGAATATGGGTGAAGATATTTTTACTTTCATTCATTTTGAATATGATGGGTTCATCGCCGGTAACAACACTTCTCATAGATCATGCAGAACAGCTTGGGGTAAGTTAGAGAACTTTGATACGTTCGATTTATTTATCTTTGATTCTAAAGTGTGTTATTAACAGCATCACCGATGCACTTAAAAGAACACAAGAAATGGATTGTGTCACCTGAATAGCTACTGCCACTAGGTCACACAGTAGGATCAGATCTATTACTTGTTTTGACGGTTTACATCACTCAAATTCATGTGATATTTAGGCAGTATTGTATTATAGTTCGTTAATTATCTCCGGAAATATTCCTCGATATTATTGTAGTATGGGAATTAAACACTTTCTCAAAATATAGCTCCATAATTTATTTCATGAAATGAATCGCACAGAAGAATGTTATTGTCTGTTGGGTTACGTTTTGAACACTGTTTACTTTTGGCAAACGTGTAAAGCAACTAATATCTGCTGGAATTGAATTTCATCGAATGTTACAATCCTATTTTTTGTTTGTATCAGTGTCCAAGATGACTGCCTCTGGTAAAATATATGTTGACCTTTCTCATCAGAATATCTAGCAGTTAAAGACTAACAACGAGAATATGTAAAGCTTTTGCGCTTCTATACCACACATCTGGATGGTTATGTGCGTCGGTGGCACAGCGGTTAGGACTCTCGCCGACCATAAACATGGTCCGGGGTTCAATCCCCTGCCGGCGCACACCCGATATCAATGGTCGGCCTGCAAAATTTGGGCTACCGATATCACATGCTGAAAATTCCATACTTGTACCAAAAATACTCTGTGGTTTCAAGCTGTAATAAAATAAAAGATCATCTACATTAGTAATTGACAAAATTGTCGTTATCTGCCCGATACTGCAAACAAATAATTAAAGAATACACACTGAAATTCAGTTTTATAACAGTTTTGTATAAGTATAACGTAGGAATTAAATTGGTACTTGAACTGATTTCAGGGAAGATTAACGTCTGTACGTTGTAAGCTGTATATACGCTAATCTTACGTGAGACAGAAAGATGCTTTTAAAAAGTTTGTTGAAATCTTGACAAGTAAGTACACTGGGGAAACAAAAACACTTTATCCCTACAAAATCCAATAAGGTTTCACGAATTTTTGTGTTTACTTGTAAACTGCGACACTGGTAAAAGTTTTGATATGGTTAGTTGCCTTTTTGACTAGAGTTAAATGCCGTTTGATTATCTGTAAAACTTGAAAGTATGGCATTCTGTACTACACTGAGAGAATTCAAACGTTTTCTTAAGCAGAACAGGTTTACTAATTTGGCAACACAGTCTAACAATACGCAGTAGGACAGTGTTAAGAAACATGCATAGTGACAGACAGATTTGTTTAATTTTTACAAGACATATAAGTGAATCATAGTTTGTCGATAACATCTTTTGGACATAATCAAAACTAGATGATCTTAGATCGGAGTTTTGTTTGATTGGATTTACTTGTCACGGAACACGTTTTTAAAGATAGTTTTGAAGGTAATAAATAATATAACTGAGAAGGGATCATCGCATAGTAGTTTAGATAAACTCTAAAATTCTCATTTTACTGTAGATATTTACGAGTGAAAAACCCTTCAAAATGAATGACTCCGTCTGTTAACCACTCAGATCTGGTTTCTCAGTGTCACATATTCAGTAGTCGCCATTAGAAAACTAGCGGTCGGCGGCAAAACTATGCAAATCATTCTGGTATTCAGCAGGCTGCTGTGATATGCTTTCAGATCAGATTTTATCTCGAATATCAAATTTGTTAGCTTAAACAGGTATCGGGATCAGCCTTGCAGCTGTAGTTATATCAGTGATTATGTTTAACGGTTGCATCAGTTAAAGAAAAGATAAATAGCCTGTCAGTCTAGTACACGGATGTGACTGATTGGCTTAAGCGCAAGGCTTTCATCCAATGGGTCCCAATTTCGAGTCCACCTCACTATACTTTAACTCAGACAAATTAGTAGTGTTACCAAGCTTCACACAACAAGTATAACTCACAGCCTTGCATATGGTCCGGATAACTCTGATTAGGAATTGGCGGAATATGAGTAGCTGGATAAGATTTGAGGAAATAAAGTGACATCATCATCATCTATGTTTGGTCAGCATCTGTTTATCTATCTTCAGAGTTTATAACAAAAAACAAATAGAGTCACTATAAGATTTGTTTTAGTAGTCAACGTTACCACACCTTATATCCACCCATAAACCAGAAGATAATCAGTGAGAAAAGGAGATGAGGAATTTAAATCTGTACAATTCAAAAAATGTGGGGCTCTCGAAGTTACAATTGAAAGGGTATCAGTAAAGAACAGACACTACAGTCAAATAGTCCTGAACCAACCAGTCAGATTCCTGTAGGTGAAAAGTGGCATTTATTGTTTAAAAAGGTATATTTAAAAGATACATATGTAACTAAGGTGAATCACACAGGGGATACATCTCTAATATTCTGTAGAAATAGGTCCCACTTTTTAATAGGAATGGTTGCGGACATACACTATTCTAATCTGTTTTTTGATATGCCTAAATCCCTTCAACAAAACATGTATGAATACCAGTTCTAGGACACACTAATCCTGATTAATGATTGACTTTATGATGAATATATCCTGCTGATGATAGTCACAAAGCTCAACATTTCAAATGGGTGCTATTCACAATCTTTGTTGAAAGTTTCACCCTAACCATACACTAACCCTTCCCCCAGCCTTACATTTACCCTAACGTTACCTAATCCTATGCTAACCTTACCCATAACCCTAACTCTAAATCAAGACGAAATTTGCAGCGAAGACTATGTAAAGCATCCTTTTGTAACGCCGAAAGACCTGATTGGTCGGCTCAAGGTCATTTGAACGTGGTACCTATTTCTTGCTGTTGCCATTGAAAGAAAGATAAGAGACGGGAATAGATATGTAACACTGTAATTATGGTTTCCAGCAGTTAGGTGAATTTTAACCAGATAACTTACTCTTTTCTTCACAGCTCAGATTAATAGTCAGTGACTTCCCTGTGTTGTTTGGTTCCACGTTTAAGTCAGACTATATATCCCTTTCTTCCAATCAGCTCCTACTTTAAGTAGCATAAAGGATCTAGACTGACGAAAACAGAACATTGATTATCAGTAGTTGTTCTTTGTAAAATATACAGGGCTTTACTATTAAAGTAAAAACTGTTTTCTTTTTGATGTGTGTTGCATTTTTGTTTTCTTCCTTAACGTCCCCAGTGAAACATAGGGTGGCTTCAAGCTAGGGCTTTAAAGTTTCGGTAGAAGTGGTATTTCTTCTGACGGTTTGGGTTTGTTAGCCTCATTTCAAACCTTCCCTCTGTACCGGCTTAGAGAGGTTTAGGAGTGTGTCTTCCGGGGGTCGAACTCCGGACCAAATGAGTAATTGGCAAGCATTCGACCATTAAACTACCGAAGCATGTTTAGACTTAAATAGGCATAGTTTAATGTAAATTTATAAATATGTGGCATCTTCGCTTGTAGACTTCATTATGGCTAACTGTTTGCTGTTATATTTTGGTAGATAAATAATAAACTAGAATGGATTAGCGATTTAAATTACTTGTTTAGGTTATCAGTAAGCATCTTTAAGTAGTCCATCATGTGTCAGATTACTACTAGAAAATGTCAACAGAAATTATTATCATTCCCTTGGGTTTCGAGTGACGCATAGGGTTTCAGAAGTACATCTCCATTCTACTCTGCTCTCCGAAGTTCTTTTTAGATGCCCGACCGAAAGCTGCTACCTTGACGTGGTGGTCGGGCTTGAACACCGCAATGACCCAACAAGCTATACTGGCTGGAACTTATGTTCCTGCAGGTCCTACCATGCCAGGAAGGTTGTTCGGATAGCGGTTAGACTAAAAGCAGTTACCCAACCCAATCCAATGACTTCAAACAAATCACAATATATCATGCCGGATCGGTCGGGGCCCGGATTAACAACGACCGCGCTTTCTGCTGCCGTGTCACAGGGCAGAAGTGATAAATACGCTACTGAGACACACCAAATAAAAAACAACAAACAAAAACAGGCCGTGTGTGACCGGCCTCAAGCAGTTGTCCCCTGGGCTCTGTGGTCACGCAACCAACTTCCACGGTGTGGGCAGCCGGGAAGCAACAATCACCCTCACAACCCGAAGAGCACACGAAACCTCTCTATCCCTCACTCACCTTTTTAGATGACCCAACGATTGCTCGTCGGCTTTCATCTTCTCTTCACACTATCTTCTTCATGTCACCCTCTGACCAATACCCAACTCATCTTTTCCCATTTAGGTTCCATTCGAAGGTTTGGAGCGTGATGTCGCTCCATCTTCATTTACTTCTGGATGTTTGTTGAGCAAGATGTTGTTGGTTGATTCGCTCCCGAAATTCCTTGTTTTTTTTGTCCCTTATGGTCAGCCATCTTATCTTTAATATCAAGGCAAGGAAGGTAGCTGTTCATGAAAGTGTTCAGTAGCCTATTGGAGATACTTTTCGTGACACACCAAGTCACTAGACCATGTAGAAGCACTAATTTGACATGAATGTTGGAAATCAGAATCTTGTTCTTTATACTGAACACAGCAGATTTCCACATCGATTTCAGAGTAACGAAAGTCCGTCTTGTCTATCTGTCTGTCTGCCTGTTTATAGATGAAACTATGCTGCCTAGATATGCGAAAGAGCTGATTTTCGTCAAGCTGCTTCCGGTGGTGGCGACTGATGTTTGTTTTTCTTATTGTTTTGTTTTCTCTATATTCAGTTGAAGTCCCGTCTTCCATGCCTTTTCTGCCGATTTATAGGTTTTCACTTGTACATCTTCAAGTTTGTATAGCGTTAGACATACATTTCATGTGAAGTTCAGATATTTTTAGAGTCTTCATTTTTGATTGCATGGAGGATTTCAACATGAGCTGACATCAGTTAGAGAACCACTGGAAAACCTGGGAGTACTAGGCTGTTTCGTCCTAGTCTGAGACTCTTCAGCAGTACGCACCCGCCTGGATTCGAACCCAGGGCCTTCTGGTTACAAGGCGAGC